AAGATGGTTGAAGGGAACCCAAGAAAGTGGCATTTGTTATTGTCTCAGGCTTTATGGGCACATAGGAATACCAGAAATACGGCCACAGGGTTCTCACCTTACCAACTCACGTTTGGCCAAGATGCTGTTTTACCAGCCGAAATCCGAGTATCATCTGGCCGAACAGAATTTACTGATGGCGATCTTACAAAAGAATACCAACAACTTATGTTGCAACAGTTGGAGGATTTGGATGTTAACCGTCTCCATGCAATAGGTCGAAGTGTGAAACAGAGTGAAATCAGAGCAAGGAGTTACGGAAAGAAAGTTCTTCACAGGACATTCCAAAAAGGAGACCTAGTCTGGAAGACCATCCTTCCTACATATAAGAAAACTGACCAATTGGGAAAGTGGTCACCGAATTGGGAAGGACCATACATTATTCAAAAAGATATTGGGAATGGCGCTTTCATTATTGTAAATCATGAAGGAAGAAGAGTACATGATTGTATTAATGCTAAATATCTGAAGAGGTATTATCCTGCCTTTTCAGATAACAAAACTGCCTGAAACAAAATATTATTCAGAACCCATTTATGGGGTTCGAACCTATTTAAAGGTTCATTTCTGTTAGTCATCATGTATTTGTGAGAAATTTTCTGCCTCTGAATCAGAATTTTCATTCCAGTGAGTGGATATTAATTCTGGTTCTTCTTCAATAAGATCTTCCAAATCTGGTCGGTACCTTTCCCATTGGCTTTGCATGTCGTCTAGATCTTGATTGGTACGTGCTTGCATGTCTGTTATGGCTTGATGTTCACGGTCAACAATGGTACGCAATCTTGAAAAGACTTTTCGTTGATTGGAAAAGATATTATCCCAACCAAGATCTGGAAGTATGGTTGCTGCGTGATTTTCAATCATTTCCATGTGATGATGGAGATCAGGAATGCGACTAAGGATGTCACGAAGAGGTTCATACCCTTCAATGACTTTTTCCATTAGGCGGATGACGCGATGAATGGTTCTTCTACCTCGTTGGGAGAATCGGAATTTGAAGTCTAGTTGCTTGAGTACATGTAACAAGTCTTCTGCATGGCCTCCAATAGGGTGATTACCTACAAAGAAGGGTTGAAGAACACCTTCCCAGTTGCTTGATGGAACATGAGGTCGGTCATTCGCCATGTTTGTTAACACTTCAAGTGTTTTGGTTTTCAAAATATGCCTTAGAATGTGTTTCTTAAAATGCGAGAAACAGTGTTCTTTAAAGGAAGGAGTTTGTTTCGGTTCCTACAAAGTTGGAAATTGAAAGGTGATCCTTGTTTTGAGAGAAGAAGGACAAATATATTACTAAGTCAAATGTTGTTACAGGGGGGGAAGTATTACAACAGTGCCCCTAGGGCAGTTTTTATATGTGTCCATTTGATTTCATCCCTGGATAGCCTTCTGGTATTGGCAGCCATCTGATATCTTATGATGAATTGGGATCGGGCTTGGGTTTTCAGCTCTTGATCCAATTCGGCCTCGTTTTTTGTATACTTCTCAAGCAGACGCTGCTCATTGGTAATTTGCTTATCCAGGGTAGACTGTTCTTTTCTTAGCTCCCGCAATTCTGCCTCCTTGTTCTGAATGGCTTCATCAACTTGAGCCTTCGTGCTAAGGAGACCGCCCAGCCTTCCAGTAGTCTGCTGAAGGGATTCTCGGGTCTTAGCCAAAGAATTCTCCAGCGTTGTTTGATCGAAGACAGGCTGGGGGGTTTCGGCTGACAGGAGTCCAATAACTAGTACTTCAGTCTTGAGCTCCGTAAGTCTTTCCATCAGCCGATGCAGAATGGGGACGGCTGGCGATTCCGTTGGAGTGTAAAAAAGAAGGCCACCAACCGTCTGAATGAGTTTGTCCAATAAGTCGGACCTTAATTCTGACAGGGGATGGTTAATGGCCTCAGTGAATATAGTTTGGGCCTCCGCTGGAACCGGAACAGTCGATAGGATAGCTAAGTCCGAAGGCCCCTGCAAGTCTTACAATGTCAATAAGTATTCCAAGGGAGGTGCAAATTTATTCAGATAAGATATGTGTCACCTCTGGGCGGACTGCTGTCAGTGAGGGGGGCAGCAATGAGGTCGGTCGAGTAGGGCAGACAGCTGGTATAACAGCAGCCGACTCGTCGGCTGCTGCGAATGGTCGCTGAGGTGCCGACCTGGGTCCCTATGGAAAGTGGTATATAAAACAGTTAGTGTTTTCCGAAAGAAACATTGTGGTATGAATTGGTTTAATCTTACCAAATTCACGGAAGTCTCCGAATCGGATGAAGAAACTTCTTCTATTTCTGGAGGTTGGGCTGCCACAGGTGGTTCTTCTGCCTGCCACTCGATTGCTGGAGGTAACGCCGCTGCTGGCTGGGCGGCTGCAGGTTGGGCGGCTGCATCTAGAGCCACTGCAGCTGGGATCTCTGGATCCGACTGGACTATTTCGGGATCAGCAGCAGCAGGGATGTCGTTGTGAGGGTCAGCTTCGGCAGGGGCAGTTGGTTCTTCCTTCGAAATGGATGAGTCTGATGCCATGAATGGCGGTCGACCCATCTGGGAAGTAGTCCCCTCGCTGTCAGAAGAGACCCCTGCTGCTGATGCGATGGGTGAAGGTGTCTGTGAAAAATCATGGAAATGTTGTTGTTAAATATATCAAGGTTGATCATTAGAATCCTACGTATTGCTGATGAGAGAACTTACTGGTTCTATAGGCACTGCTGGTACAGATTGCCTCCTGGTCGGGTGCCTGGCCCGACCACTCCTCGGTACGGGAGGAAGAGTTTGCCTCCTTGTCGGGTCCTCCGCCCGACTGCTCATTGGCAAATTGGTCTGGACCAAAGGTCCGATTGAATGGTCGGCTGGGGGTGGCGTCGTTTGTGTGGTCGGTGCTACCAAGGTCGGTTCTGGTGAATGAAATGAGTGGAATCAAAGTTACGATATAGTGAATTGGTTCACGGTATTAAAAAAAAAAAAAAAAATTACCAATTCGAGGTCGGGTCCTTGCTGAAGTCCTAGTAGTTCCAAGGTCTGCTGGTGCTTGCTGGTCGGCCCCAGAGGTCGGGGGTGTTTGCAGCTGGGAAGCTTTCCTTTTTCGCACTGGAACACTAGATCCGATTCCCGGGGCGGCTGTTTGTTGCTGAGTGCTAGTATGTCTAGCCGCCCCTAGAACCAATCCTTGGGGGGGAAGGAGTATGTTCAGCAACCGATCCTCATTAGGGGAAATCAGGGGCCATACAACCGACTACCATTCATTGAATGTATCTACAGTCTCAGGGTCGGAGCGGAAAGGAATATAAGAATTGGAAATTATATACGTGGTGAGCTGGGAGATATAAGAAGGGATTGAATTAGGTAGGACTCGTCGGTCAGGACTTTGAAAAATTATATGCGGACAAGCGACGGGTCCAGGGATACCTTGGCAACAGCCGAACTGGCGCGCCATGAATTGAGGTTCATAATTAAAAGTGTAAAAGGTTTTCTGCCCTTTTTTATCAAGTTTTCTGCTGCTAAAAAGAGACCTGGGTTTGAGGGCAACGTCCCAGGCAAAAGGATAGGTGGGATGAGCACAAGGCTCAGGAGTCGGAAGAGGATTTGCTGCCGGAAAGGGCCAAAAATGGTCGGGAGCATAACCCGCATATTTTTTATACATAGAAAATCGAGAGTTACTGCGGGTATCCGTTACAATTGCAGTTATTATTGGATCGGAAGATTGGAGTTTATTGCGTCCTGAGCAGAGTCGGTTGAGGGCTAATCCCAAATGTTTTTCAGATGTTGGCATAGTGGGCGGAGATCCTAAGTTGAACGCGTTGGGGAAGTAAAGACGGAACCAAAGTTCTAAAAACCAAAAAGGACCTGATGCAGCAGTGTCTAATTTTCTACTATCATTATCTGTTAGACGAAGGCTAACTCTAGTAAGTCCTTCAAACAAATTGGCTAAAAACAGGGTGCCAAGGGAAAAGAACCGACCTGACGCGATATGAATGGCCAGGTCGAGATGAGAAGGGAGAACACATTTGGAAGGGGAAACAATGACGTACCTACAAAGCCAAAAAAGGATAAAGGCAGTATGCTCCCGGTCGGTCACAGGGGTCCCTGGAGCCCCTTGCTGATCGGTTGCGAACTTTGTCCAGCCCCATTCCTTCACACCTTGTAAAGACCACCCTGGATGGTCTTCTGATGGCTCCTGCCCATCTAGGGCTCCCATCACAGGGTCTTCACCCACGACTGGGAGATGCGCGATCATTGCCACATCCATAAGAGTTGGACCAAAGGGGCCCGATGGTAAGAGGAAAGTCCCATTTTCCGCATTCCAGAAGGCAGACATGGCCAACAGCACCTTCTCATGCAGGTTGATAGGCATGGTGGACAATAGTATTGCTTGGTCGATTTTTTGAGATCGCCATTGGGCCTGGAAGTGTTCTGCTACCCGTCGATACCAAGAGCGGTAAGGATCTTTTGGGTCTGTGAGATGGGTTTTGATGCTATCTCGAATGCGAACTGCTTGGTAGTTAGGGTTGTTGATAGCCAAGGAATTTCGGGATTCCAAAACTTCCCTCATCCGATTTGAGTCTTCAGGAGTAGTGCAATATGGGCGGATCGTCGGAGTTAGTACTTTCGAGGCTGAAAATGGGCCCTCTGGGAGGGTTCCGTCGAAAGGAAGGGCAGGAATGTATTGATTCGCCATGGTTAGAGTGTTCTGGGATTGTGATTCACAAAAGCTCGTATTGCGGAGAAGGAAGTTAATCAGGAGTGTTGCAGTAACTGGTGCAGTTGCTAAGAGAATTTTTCGAGAGGGTAGTGATTTATGAACTTCCAAACATTGATTGTTAAATGGCGTTTGAAAGTCCCTTGGCGGCGGGCAAGTTGTTACGTACGAAATTTAGAATTAGGTTAAAAGCCCAAGGTAAAAAGAAGAATGGGCCTGGCAATAGGGTTGATTGAACTGGCTGAAGGACACCGTGTGGAACTCAAGGAAAATTCAGGACGGAAGGACCTCAGGTCGGTAGGTTCTCAAGACGGAAAGACCTCAGGTCGGAAGGTCTTCAGGTCGGTAGGTCCTCAAGACGGAAAGTCCTCAGGACGGAAGGGCCTCAGGTTGGTAGGTCCTCAAGACGGAAAGACCTCAGGTCGGAAGGTCTTCAGGTCGGTAGGTCCTCAAGACGGAAAGTCCTCAGGACAGAAGGGCCTCAGGTCGGTAGGTCCTCAAGACGGAAAGACCTCAGGTCGGAAGGTCTTCAGGTCGGTAGGTCCTCAAGACGGAAAGTCCTCAGGACGGAAGGGCCTCAGGTCGGTAGGTCCTCAAGACGGAAAGACCTCAGGTCGGAAGGTCTTCAGGTCGGTAGGTCCTCAAGACGGAAAGTCCTCAGGACGGAAGGGCCTCAGGTCGGTAGGTCCTAAGACGGAAAGACCTCAGGTCGGAAGGTCTTCAGGTCGGGAGGTCCTCAAGACGGAAAGTCATCAGGACGGAAGGACCTCAGGTCGGTAGGTCCTCAAGATGGAAAGACCTCAGGTCGGAAGGTCTTCAGGTCGGGGAGTCCTCGAGACGGAAAGTCATCAGGATGGGAAGTCCGCAAGTCGGGTAAACCATAGATCGGATAGAAGGCGAAGTCGGGCAGACGCGGAGGTCTGTCAAGAGGAAGGTCGGGCAAGGAAGAGGTACGGACAGACGCGGAGGTCTTCGGTCAAAGACGGAGGGCGGCTGATGCGGAGGTCGGCCCAAGTGAGGTCGGGCGAAGAAGCAGGTCGGGCGAAGGACGAAGTCGGGCCAAAAGGGCGGAAGGTCTGTGGTCGGCTCAAAGAGTGAAATATAGGGATAATTTTGGTCTGCTGAGGACGCGTGTCAGCAGGAGAAGGGTTGGAAGACGGTTGGGAAGGAGACGTTGTAACCGTTCGGGTGACGGTTTTTCAGTACGGTTTCCCAGAGAATATTTAAAGGCTTGGATAATCATTTGGCAAGGCATCTTCAATCAACTTCAACAAAGCAAAGTCAGATTTGGGGATCACCACTTTAAATTTCAGTCTTTTATTTTCCAGTTTATTTTCTGTACCGTACAGTGTTTAGAGATTCCTAATCTCAGGCACTAATTAATCAAGTTTAAGGATATTTTCTATATCTTTGAATTTTACTTTATTTTTGTTGAAAAATTACATCAACAAAAATAATATATTTATTTAAAATTATAAATTTAATGTATACATATATTAATTAAAATTTAATCTAATAAAAATACATATGTTAATAATTTTTTCTCTTTTATATTTACACTATTTCTAATGAAAAAAAAATTATATTTTTCAATAAACTTGTATTAATTATTTACAAAATATTTTTAAAATAATAAAAATAAATATCTCACTAAATTTTTCAAAATTTTAAAATTAATAATAAAATTATAAAAAAGTCTACCCACCGAAAAAACTCAACTAAATATTTTGAAAATAAAATATAAAATATCATTAATTGTCATTTTACATATAAACATCTAATATCAAACCGCTATTTTGCCAAACACTTTAATACAAACAGTTAATCAAATCAGCTAGTCAAACCCGCTAATTGAATCAGCTAACAGTTAACAGCTAATGAAATCAGTTAACAGCTAATCAAATCAGCTAGTCAAACCCGCTAATTGAATCAGCTTACAGTTAACAGCTAATGAAATCAGTTAACAGCTAATCAAATCAGCTAGTCAAACCCGCTAATTGAATCAACTAACAGTTAACAGCTAATGAAATCAGTTAACAGCTAATTGAATCAGCTAATAACTAACAACTATCGGCTAATTGCCAAACACACAATTTGTGTTTTTCGATGACATAATTTTTCATAAATATAAATATAAAATATATTATATACACATATTAATACCATATATATAATAGATACACTTTATTCGTTCACAAAAAATTTTATCACAAAATATTATTTTTTATTTTAGCAATACAATTATTCTTATCTAATATAAAAAATTAATTTCTCCTAAAAGTAATCACACCTCATATAAAAAATAAATTTATCCTAAAAGTAATCACACCTCATGTAAAATCAATTTCTTTTTTCTAAAATTCTTTTAAGAATATTATTGGTGGATATTACATATTTATTAAATTAATAAATAAATATACTAATACTTCCTTCATCCCGCGAGAATGAGTCATTTTGTTAGAGACACAATACTTTAGGTAGTATAAATTAATAAATTATTATAATAAGTTATGATATTATTTTATTATATTTTATGTGAGTAGTGTTGTTAGTATCTTAAATATTTTTAGGATTATATCTCACTAAAATATATGCAATATGAATATAATTTTGTAGATAATAAATTTTATATAATGCAAATGAATAATAAAATATATATATTTATTTATGATTAATTTAAAATTGATATTATAAAATAATAAAATTTAAATATAGATAAAAATATTTGTTTATTGAAGATAAATAGAAATAAAAGGGGTTTTGAGTGAACTTACGTGTATTAAAAATTTAATTAAATTGATTTGTATTTGTTAAGTATGTTTAAAATAAATAAATTTATTAAAAAGATAAAAGTAATCTCCTTTTACGGGACGGGACAGACAAAAAAAAAATAAAAATGAATCGTTTATTACGGAATGGATAGTTATTAAACAACTTAAAATAATAATATAAATATATTAAAATTTCAAAAAAAATTTGATAAAAAATAACACTAACTACTCCCTCAGTTTTGTAACAATAGTCCAAAGTCTATATAAAATTTAAAAAATAATAATTTTATATTAAAAGTAAATATAAAATGAATAATAGAAGAGTAACATATTTTTGTGCGCGTATTTATGTAAAAAATAATAATATTTATGTAATAATAATAATAAAATAAAAATAATTTTAAAATAATATAATTATTTTGAAAAAAAATCATTATTTTGATATTGACGAAAGTAAAATAAATAAAATTATTATTTTAAATCGGATGGAGTACTTATTTATTAAAAAATAACCTAAAATAACAAATATGATATCCAACCAATTGTGTGTTAGCTAAAATTTCTTTTTCGTTTATTTAGTTATATAAAAATATTTATTCGGAAATTATTCCTTCGAATTTAATACAGAAATTGGTACGGCGCAATCTTCCAATGAAACTTATATCTAACACCATGGGTGTGATTAAAGCTGACACTTGGTGGATTCGTATCCGATTGAATACTTTAAACATGTTAAATTATTCCATTCTAACCCAACCAGTTTATTATTGTGTCTGATTCGTATTGACCCGTTTATTATCTTGTCGGGTTCGGTTTGACTCGTGTTGACCCGTACACATAATTAAGTCGAATTTATTGATTCAAATTAAATAAGTTTTTTGTTGTGTTGTCGTGTTATGTTAGTTTTTATTGGTTTGAGCGTAAATTAAATTGAATTATTTAAAATTTAATTTAGTTTAAATTAATTTATGAGAAAATTAATAAATTACAATTATTTTACATATATAGTAAATATATTAATCAATATTAATATATTATAGTCGGATTATCGTGTCAGGTTCGAGTTGAGGTTGAAATCTTCGACCAAAATCCAATTATTTTGTGTTGGGTCAGTTTTTTCGAACTTTAGGTGTGACCATTTCGTGGACTGCCTATTTTGCCCTTACAATCTTACACCGTTGGATGTAAGTCCGGAAAGTTCTCCCCGCCGTCGATTTTTTTCAATGATGGACCACGTACTTATTAATGCATATTTTAATCTTGTCCGTTAAATTGAAATTCCAGCAATTTTTTCCACCCGTTGATTATTTCTGAAACGGACGGTTGTGATTTAAAACTTAATCCCTTGATGGAATTCTACACCTCACACATTACTTGTTATTTTGTCGTTGTATTTACGGGAAATTATTAATTTATGCTTTCGTATTTAAATATTTATTTAACTATGTTGATACATAGAATATATATATATATATATTTTCAAAAACATTAAATTACATAATGCTAACTTGATTAATTTGTCAACACTCAACACCGACAAATTGTGCTGTGAGTTTAATTTAGAATCTTTTGGTGGTTCGGAGGAAAAAAAATTATAAAAATTAAATATTTTATGTGAATAAATATATACAATATTTTTTAATAAATAATATCAAAATTTGCAAAAATGTCTAATTAAACATGATCTGATCTTGTTTGAAGTGTTTGCAATTCAGTTTCTATATTTTATTCATATATGTGCGAAGGGAAAACTATTTTTTTTAGTCCTATAACTGGACTCCTTTATCATTTTAGTCCCGTAAATGGAGCCTGTCGCAAACTAGTCTCGTAAGTGAAAAATTTTCGCTGTTTTAATCCTCCGGCGCCGGAGACGCCCGCGTGGCTTGCGGAGGTGACGTGTCCGTCAGGTTAGCTACACCTGGCAGACACGTGAATTTATTTATTTTTTTTCATTTATTTTTATTTTTTAATTTTTTTAATTGGACCAAATAAAAAAAATAAAAAATACAAATAAAATTTAAAATAAATTAAAAATAAGTTTTAAAAAAAAAATTTAAAAAATTAAAAAATCCACGTGTCTGCCAGGTCATCGACACCTGGTGGACACGTCACCTCCGGCGAGCCACGCTGACGTCTGCGGCGCCGGAGGATTAAAACAACGAAAATTTTTCACTTATGAGACTAGTTTGCGACAAACTCTATTTACGGGACTAAAATATAAGGGGTCCAGTTACGGGACTAAAAAATCAGTTTATCCATGTGCGAAAAATGGATGACTCTATTCTCTTTTATTTTTCTCTGTTATTTATTTGTTTACTAAACATTAATTTAATTTAATATTATATAAAAATTATAAATATATTTAATGAAAAGCTAAATCTAGCATCAATCAAAGGTGTTGATTATACATAACTTTTCTCTCTCTCTTCCAAATTTGAAATGTATTGTTTTAGAGTGTTGTTTTTTTTCATTGTAATATATGGTGACATAAATTTATATAATTTTTTTTATAAAAATTTAAAATCAAATTTTAAAATAATTGGACCTTATTTTTCAACATTTTTATTATTTAATTTAAAGTTATATTAAAAAACACTATATACAAATTTCTTTTATTATTAATATCAATTTAATTTTTTTGTCAATCTTTTGCTAAATTATATCATCTTCATCCTATCATAGTTGACACGATTTTTATTTTATTTTTTTCATAACATTTGACATATTGATATTTTTAGAAATTATAATTATTAAAACAGAATAAAATAGAATGCACTCAAAACGAATATAAATAAATTTAATTAACTTCATAATTAAAAAAAATAGTCATTCAGTTTTTATACATATATAAATAAAATATAGAAATTGTTTACGGACACTTCAAATAGAATTAGATTATGTTTAATTAGACATTTTTGTAAATTTTGATATTATTTCTTAAAAAATTAATATATATATATTTATTTTCATAAAATATCACATAAAATTTACTATATAATTTTATCAATTTTTATAAAAATAATATTACCTCAAATCTCGAAATAA